GCAGCAGCCTAGGCAACTCAGTCTACGGATAAATGGAGACAGCATCACCCTCACAAACTTTCCTGACTTTGGAGAGGCTAGTCTTTGGCTGTTGAAGGTACCCCAACCTCTCTTCCTCCCTGGGGCTGATTTTTGCATATCTGTGTCATTTTTAATTAATGTATATATCCCTAAATAATGTCATTTTTGTGTGATCTTGACCTTTTACACATAAATGCAATGTTTCCACAGTCTTCTGCCCTCTGCTCTGCTCACACGGCAGGGTTGGGGGAGCCGTATAAGTAGACGTGCGGAGCTGTACTTTTTCACCACTGCATAGAAGTCCGTTGTTCCACCCTGTGTCTTCTGAACTGGTTCCAGGTTTCACTATTCTGTTCTGCTCTAACAATCTTTTAAATGTCTCCCACTTTGCGCACAGTTGAGAACTTTGGATAATGATCATGGCTTCCATTTACTGACCCTCCACTATGTGCCAGGCATTGTTCTAAGCACAGATGGACTCATTCGACCCACCCCTCTCCCCAACAACCTTATAAGACAACTACTATTACGATCTTCATAGGAAAACACACAACCCCAGAGAACAGGAAGGTTAAAGAACATGTCTGCTAAGAACTGTCAAAGTTACAGTTCAAACCCAGTCAGCCTGACCCTCTTGCGCACTAACATATTTGTGGCTCTGGTTCTCTAGTAGATGATCAAATGAAAGAGGAGGAATGCTTACACAGTTGAATGCAAAAGGTCTTCTTGGAATTCCATCTCTATGTTATAAAATTGGCTGGTCACAAACAGAACTCCAGTCTCCATTTTACAGACGAGTAAACAAATAGTGCCTCTTCTCCCCACATCCATGTTTGGGAGGCACTGAACCAGTACATTCCTTCTGGTTTGGCCACTGCAATGTTGCTTAGTACCATGGAAGAGTCTTTTCAAAGCATATCCAAAAGACAGAAAAACTTCATTATTGTGGACAAAAATAAAGACCCCATGAGGTCCAACTGTGATGTAAGGAGGCTTTTGTCAAAATGCCTATCAGAGCACACGTACCTGGAATGCTTCTTCAAAGCAGTCCCTTTTGGTGGTGTGCACTTATTCTAGTAACAATGCCACTATTCAAAGTATTTTTTTAAAGATTTTATTTATTTATTTGGGAGGGGGGAGAGAAAGAGAGAGAGAGAACGAACAGCATGAGTTGGGGGAGAGGGAGAAGCAGGCTCCCCGCTGAGCAGGGAGTTGGATGCAGGGCTTCATCCCAGGGCCCCAGGATCATGAGCTGAGCCAAAGGCAGACGCTTCACCAACTGAGCTGCCCAGGTACTCCATCACTATTCAAATTATTCTTTAAGTTCTTCTTTTGAAACTGCCTTTAGAGTGTAGAGCTACATAAGACCTCATCTCATGAATTTTTACCATATCTCAGTTTTTCAATGAAAAACAATGCTTCCCACAGCACGGGTGCCCACTCTATTTAACAGATGGGCCTCAAAATTATTTCGGCCTAAAGCCAAATGCCCAGTCCTCACTCAAAGATTTGATACCGCTGAGGATTTTTTTTAAAGGTGCCTGAAGGCAACTCCAAAGAGTTCCAAAAATGGGCTGGATAGTTTTGGGGTTTCCTGCCCCTTCTCTACACTGGCCAGAAGGAAAAAGCAGCCAGTGAGGTTTTTGAATGTTGCCAACTGTTGCAAATGCTGGGCCTGATACATCTTTATTAGTCCCAATTTACAAGAGCAGGTTGACCTTGAAGGTTAGCAGGGATCAGCAGGACTAGCTAGCCTGCCTAACGGGTAATTTGCCCTAACGGTTAAGACGAGTGTCTAAAGGGATCTCCAAAGGCTAGCTTCATTAGAACCCTTGGGGATTCAGAAAGAGAAAGACATGCAGTGACCCAGAGTAGAGGACTAAGTCGTAAGTACAGTGGCAAGCCACACAAGCTATACAAAAAGGTAAAGGACCGAACACATGAACACACACTTATAAAAACCTGCCACTAAGTGTGGAAATGAGGCAAGGGTGACTGCTTTTTTAAGATTTTATCTATTTATTTGACAGAGACAGCACAAGCAGGGGGAGCAGCAGCAGGAGAAGCAGGCTCCCTGCTGAGCAAGAAGCCCAACACAGGACTCTGTCCCAGGACCCCACGACCTGAGCCGAAAGCAGCCACTTAACCCACTGAGCCACCCAGGTGCCCCAAGGATGGCTGCTCTTAATGCTTGCATTCCATAGCTCTTAAAGATACTAGCAAGCTTCATAAGGGAAGAAATAAAAGTCATGGGACGCCTGGTGGCTCAGTGGTTGAATGTCTGCCTTTGGCTCAGGTCGTGATCCCAGGGTCCTGAGAGCGAGTCCTGCATTAGGCTCCCTGCATGAAGCCTGCTTCTCCCTCTGCCTATGTCTCTGCCCTTCTCTGTGTGTCTCTCATGAAGAAATAAAATCTTTTTTAAAAAAAGAAAGTCAAAACATATTGAAATAAGTAAAACTGTATTCGTAAACAACATGATCATGTATCAAAAAAAAAAAAATCCTAAGAACACTGTAGAACTACCAGAACTGGTAAGTAAACTTAGTAAGATTGCAGGATATGCAGATCAACATAAAAATTAATGACATTTGTATTGCTAGCAACGAACAAATGGACATTAAAGTGTAAAAAAAAACTCATGTGTGTAATATTAAAAAAATGAAATCTTTAGGGATACATTTAACAAAATGTGTACAAGAACCATGCATGGAAAAGTATAAAACACTGAGAGAAATTTAAAAAGACCTAGACACACACTCAAGGATCAGAAGACTCAGTGTTGTTATAATGTCAATACTGATCTAGAGATTTGATACCATCCCTATCAAATCTCTATGGGCTGTGTTGCAGAAACTGACAAACCAATTCCAATTCCGAAATTTATATGGAAAGCCAAAGGACCAAAAATAGCTGAAACGACCTTGAGGGGGGGGGGTTTGGAGTACCTACACTATCCAATTTCTAGACTACTAAAAATGCCTCAGTAATCAAGACAGTGGGATTCTGGCAGGACTAGTTAGCCTGCCCAACAGGCAGTCTGCCATAATGGTTAGAGAAGCATCCAAAGGAATTGCCAAAGATTGGTTTCAGAATCAGACACATTTTTTTGGAGGTCCTAGCAATAGTCCATTGATTTCTAACAAAGATACCAAGGTGATTCACTGGGGAAAAGGATAGTCTTTTCCACCAATGATGCTGGAACAATTTGATATCCATATGGAAAAATAAGTGAATATTGACCCTTACTTCACACAATACACAAAATCAAGTCGAAATGAAGCATAGAAGTATTCGTTTTCAGGGCACCTGGGCAGCTCAATCAGTTCAGCATCCGACTCTCGATTTTGGCTCAGGTCGCAATCTCAGAATCATGAGATCAAGCCCCATGTCAGATTCCGCACTCAGCGTGGAGTCTACTTGAGATTCTCGCCCTCTGCCCCTCCCCTTCCCCTGCTTGCATGCACTTGATCTTTTTCTAATACATAAATAAATCTTTTAAAAAGTATTCATTTTATATTGCAGCATCACAAACTTAGTAGCTGTAAACAACACATATGAATTATCAGTTTCCGTGGGTCATTGGTCAGGAGTTGGCACAGTTTAGCTGCATCCTCTCCTCAAGATCTCACAAGGCTGGAAACTCAAGGAAAGGGGGATTATACAGGGTATGAGTGGTGGGGGGGGGCAGGGCACAAGAGATCTAAACGTTAAGTGTGAAAACTACCGAAGTTCTAGGACACAAGGGAAAATCTTTGTGAACTTAGGTTAGGTAAAGGTTTCTTAGAGCACAAAAAGTATAAACCTTAAGAGAAAAAAAATGACAAACCTGACTTCATCAAAATTAAAAACCTTGCTCTTTCAAAGGCCCAATTAAGAAAATGAAAGGGTAAGCTGTAGTTCGGGAGAAAGTACTTGCAAATCATAGATCTCACAAAGGTCTTATAATCAAAATATGTAACGTACTCTTATAATAATAAGACAGGCAATCCAATAGGAAACAGGCAAAAGATTTGAGCAGACGCTTCACCAAAGATGATAAACAAATGGTCAGTAAGCCCATGAAGACATACTCACCTTCATTAGTCATTAGGAACATGCAAATTAAAACCATAGCGAGCTACCACTACACACCCACTAGAATGGCTACAATTTAACCAGAGAGACAATAACAAGAGTTGATGAGGGCATGGGCTGAAGCAGAACTCTCATACTTCATTTTGCCAGTGAGAATGTAGGTTGGCACAAGGACTTTGGAAAATAGTTTGATGGCTTCTTGTAAAACTAAACATACACTAAGCATAACGCCCAGCAACGCCGCACCTAAGTATTTACACAAGTGAAAAAACAAGTCCACACAAAGACCCTTAAGCAAATGCTCATAGCAGCTTTATTCACAACGGCCAAAAACTCAGTCAACTCAAATGTTCATCAACTAGTGAATAAATAAATCACTGTGGAACACTGCTCAACAACAGAAAGTCACCAACTGTGGATCCGTGAGACAATATGGATGAATCTGGAAAGCATTACGCTAAGCGAAAGAAGCCAACCACAAAACACTACATAAACCTACCCTCAACACATCTCAAAGAGGTAGTAGTATTCAGACCACAGTCTCTAACCATAATGCAGTGAAGTTAGAAATCAGTTCTAAAAATACATAGAAAATGTGTCTGCAAATTTAAAAATATGCTTCTAAACCCAAGGGTGAATGAAAGAATCACAAGAGAAATGAGACTATACTAGAACTAAATAATAATAATAATTCTATGCGTTGAAACATCCAAACCACAAAATAAATCCAAAGAGAGGAGAAAATGAGCAGTGATTTCCAGGATATATTTTAAGTGGGGGGAAAAAAAAAACACAAGAGGCTGAATAGTGTATGTAGTATGCTTTTTTGGTGTAAAGGGGGAAATGCAAATGCACGTGCACACGTGTGCACACTTGCTCAAATTTGCAAAAGAAGAAACAGAACAGTGCTCGCTTTGGCAGCATATATACTAAAATTGGAATGATACAGAGAAGATTAGCATGGCCCCTTAGCATGGATGACACTCAAATTTGTGAAGCATTCATACAAAAAAGAAGAAGAAACAGAAGTAGAAACTAAAACCTACTAATACTGATTACCTGGGATGGGAGGGGAAGGGGCTAGAAATAGAATGCCTAGCAAGAGACAGGGATGGAACTAAGGCTTTTTGGAATATACCCTGATGTAAATCTGAGTTTAAAATCATATAAAGTCTTTATTCATTAAAATTAATCAAAAAGAAGTAGAGAATATAATTATATTCATTCATTTCCACATACTGACACACATCATATGGCATAACCACAACTGACAAACCTCTGGTAAGGCTAAGAAAAAAAAAAAAGAAGGCAGAAACAATATTAAGATTTAAGAATGAAAAGACAGGGGTACCTGGATGGCAGAGTCAGTTAAGCATTCGACTCGTGGTTTTGGCTCAGGTCCCTTGGGGTCATGGGATTGAGCCCCGAGTCTGGCTCAATACAGAGTCTGCTTGGAAATTTCTCTCCCTTTCCCTCTGCCCCTCCCACTCATATTCTCTCTCTCAAATAAATAAATCTTAAAAAAGAATGAAAAGACAGATATTAACCACAGAAATGGCAGATATTAGCTGGTAGTTTAAAATATTCTCACACCAGATATACCAGGCCCATGTGGCTCTAGGGGCAAGCTGTACCAAACATTCAAGAAACGGGTAATTCTAATCTCACAGGAACTTCCAGAGACCACAAAAAGGCAATGCTCTGAACTCACTTTACAAGGCTAGCAAACCGATGCTAGGCAAAGACCGTACAGGAAAGCCAAATCTTACCCTCAGGTACAGATGTAAAAATTCTGAAGAAAATATTACCAATCAAATCCAGCAGTAAGAAACCGGCTGGTTTCACACCAGCAGGCAAACCTGGTTAATGCTACAACGTTGTATTAGAAAATCCCTTAAAATACCCCATCATCTTAACAGGTTCCAAGGCGGGGGGGGGGGGAACACAACCAAAAACCAAAAAAACAGAGCTCTGTAAAGGCAGAAAAGGGGTCTGATAACATTCAACATCCACTTAGAAAAAAAAAAACAAAAACAAAAACAAAACCATCCACTTAGGCCAAAATGAATGTGCACTAGAAGTGTGCCTACCTGAAACCTGAAGCAAACCTAATACTTTATGGTGGAATGTGGAACACGCGATGCCTTCTCAGGTGCAGCTTCTGGGCCCCACCCCAAAGCCCCGAAGTCAGAAAGTCCAGGCTTGCCACCAGGGAGCTTGGCATTTAGGAAACGCCCTCAGGGGATTCTGAGGAGGCTGGCCACCCCAAAGTCCAAGTGCCAGCGACAGAGCCCCGGAGGTGCGGCATCACCCGGAGGGGAGCCTGTCGCCGCCGCCACTGCAGCCCGATCGCCCGCCTGGCAACCCACCGAGTCAGAATGTGCGTCTGGACCCGAAGTGCGGGTGATTCTCAGCGGACTCAGGTGGGAGAAGCGGCCCTACAGCGGCTGCTCTCCAGCTGGGCCCCACCCCGAGCGCTGCAAGGAATGCACCTGTTTGCTCTCCCCCGAGATTAAGAGTTTGCAGATGAACGTCTGTGGGTGGGGCCTGGGCAGCAGGTCAGTAAAACTCCCAGGTGATTCTAGGGAGCAGCCAGCGTGGCGAACCACTGGTCTGCAGTATGCCAGCACGCGGAAACTTCTCTCTGGGGACTCCGCATCCTCTTGGGTGAGCCAGAGAAGAAGGGCGCGAGCCTCAAGTTCTTGGAAGATCCCCGCCCACCCCACAAGGAAGAAAGCCTGCATGTGGCACACAGACGGGTGGCGAATTCTTCACAACACTAACCGAACCGGAACGGAGAAAAGAAGGGTCTGCAAAACGAAGTAGGGACGTTGTGAGGATTCAAATGGGATGACCGTAATCGCAATGGGCAAAGGGCTGGCCACAGCTTACACAGGATCACTAATGCAAGTTATTACTGAGGCCACCGCGGCTCTAACTGCTCTTCAGGCAAGGACAGCAAATCTGATGACATCATCAGCAGATCAAGGCCAGAACGTAACTTTCAAAGCTGCGCTGTCCAACAACCGGAGCCACTAGTCCGTGCAACTCCTGAACACTTGAAATATGGCTAGTCCAAATTGAGGGGCGCTGTAAATGTAACGTACGTGCCAGAGGTTGCCAACTTCCTACCAAAAAAGGGGAGGGGAGACACCTCTCTGATAATTACACTGATTACACATCGAAATGAGAACCTTTTGGATATACTAGGTTAAATATATTATCAAAATTGACCTCATCTGTTTCTTTTCTAATGCGGCTACTAGGAGCATGCATTACACATGTGGCTCAAGTTATCTTTCTAATGGACCGCAAGGTCTCCAAGGGTCACGGGGAAGCCAGGATGGGAACTACTACTTCAACCAGCCTTCTCAAACTTCACATACAGATCACCTAGGGATGTCATTAAAATGCAGATTCTAGTTGGGTAGATCTGAGGGGCCCTCAGATTCTGCATTTCTCCTAAGCTCCCAGGAGCTGAGGAAAAGCAGAGGCATCAAGACAATTATCAACAAGGAAAAACTGTTTTGTGGCAATGTGAGTGATGGGAACCTCTGGAGAAGTGACCGTGTCCTGTCAGAGTTGATAACAGCAAAGAAAGGAAATGGCCAGCAGGGTTGCACTCAGCCTCAACTTTAAAAACGCAGTTGTTATGCCTCACAGTGAGAACTCCAAAGAAGTGAGGGCCAGCGCCAATTGCCCTGCATCTAGGGACTCCCTTCCTCTCTGATTGGGAACCATCAATGTGGGCAAGGAACACTTCAGGACAAGAAAGTTCAAAAAGGAACGTCAACTGAGGTTTCTCAAACCCTGCCTGCCACATAACTGATGTCAATGGCAGTGTCCTCCTACCGTCTCCGTGAAACCAAGTGCAGATCGTCCTTCTCACTGTGACCAATACTACTGACAAGTCATGGTTGGGGGTCACTGCCATGCAGGTACATGACTTCTTTCAGCAAAATGGCTCAGGCCGATTCCAGGACTGCTGGAGTGACAGCACAGTCCCTGTTCTCCTGAGTCCCCCCCCACCAAGTGATCTCAGGCCCATAAAGAAACTTAATGGTCAGACGAGGGTATTTCAAGCACCATCATCTGATGCCATGAATCCCCTTTATGACCACCTCGGCCCAAGAGCTCCCATGAAGGGAAAAGCATGGCAACATGACATAGCAGCCCTGTTCCATTTTAAGAGGCTCTGGGAAACAATGCTTCCTCCTCACGGAAAGCCCAAGGGCATGATATCAATATGTAACAATCATCACAAGCTAAAGAAAGGACATCACTGTGCTGCCAAGGTCTGCAGGCAAGAGAATAAGAACAGAATGAGTTACACACAAGTTACTTTTATTTTTACTTTCAATCATTACCCTTCTACTTCCCTTACTCCTTCCCATCCCCAAACACACCAACAAGGAAAGCAAAAAATGAACCTATTGTATAAAAAAGGTTCATGACAGTAGTCCAAAAACCCAGAGGTTGGAAATGCAATGTGTGAGACCCCTCCCATCACTGGACCCAAAGAACTTTCCCCCTCGTTTGCTAATTGTCCACGACAAGGAAGGCCTGGCATGAGATGAGCTCCGTTTCATCTGGCAGTCAGGGGATATGGTCTCTGTACAGACAATCGAATTCGTGGAAATGAACACATCCAAACACCTCTGAGCAATCCCCTCCTTGTCCAGTTCAAGTCAAGGAGCATTTACTAAATAGCTGCTGTGTGTTAAGGGCCATGTTGGGTTTTGCCTGCCCAGGAAAAGAAAAAAACCATATCCAACCTCAGCTCCCTTCTGCACAAGCTTAGATGAAAACAAGTAATACTGGTATCAAGACAAAGAGTTGAGGAGCAGCAACACTGGATGACCAGGACTTAAGTCCGGGGCATTGCAAAGAGCTACTTATGGAGCCATTTCAAGATACTGAGAAATGACTTCAAATAACAAGAAAAGAGCACTCTGCCCCAGTACTACAGGAACACGAAAGGCAGCACAGACCTGGAGTGCAATCAAGGCTCTGTATTTCTTTCCATCCTCACCCCCTGAGTGAGAACATCCAGTCCAGTATGGATGATGAAGCTTGGCAGGGCCTCCAGCTGCACTGAGGAGCTAATGTGAGGTGTTGATTTGAAAAAGGAAAGATCTTAATTCTGAAACACTTCAGGAAAAGGCAGGCAATATTCCCTGGTGCAGAGATTGTCTTGCTATTGCCCTGTGATTGTTGGTTATATGATACTACCATTTTAGGAATCAATAAAATGGAAGCTCATGACAGGTACTGATGACTTCAGGTCCATCCGAGAGAGGCAATAAAACACTCGTGTATTCAATGCTGACAGAAGAGGGAAAGCAAGGCAGAGGCCCACCCTACAGCTATGGGGTAGGTGGGCCAAGAACAGGAAGGACCCTGCTCTCCCATCCAGTTTTCCAAATAGCGGCAGCTTCTATGATACATGAATGCGGTCCTAATCATGCTGCACAGCCCACAACGGGTACTGGTGTACATGCGATCCTCTGGAAAGCTCTGAGAACTCGGTGGGGCTCACCACTCTGTCTTACAAATGGAAGAGGCAGCAGCAGTGAGGTAGGAGGACTTATCCCATGTCACAGAGTGAAGGAATAGAAGTGGGACTTGGGTCCGGCTCCCGGAATCCAAACTCAGGATGCTTTCGGCCACCTCACACAGAGGGCTCCTTTATTCTTCCTTGTTCCTCAGATAAAAACAAAGACAGTGCTAGTGGATGATACCAATGTTCTCACGAGGTGCCTGCTGCATTCTTAAAAGGATGAGGTCGTCCAGGTGCTCAGGTGGACTGTAAACATTTAACATGAAAAGCTGTCCTCCGACTGCAGGACAAAACTAGATCTCATCTACTAACTCCAACCCGGCCTTCTGGTCCTCCTGCCTTCAAAGTGGAGGAATGGGAAAAAGGCCTCTCTTGATCTAGTCATGTTTGGACAATAAACAAAACATGGCCTCAAGTAATTTCTGAGTCCAAACAGTAAAGGGAGCTCAACACTGCAGGAACTGTGGACACTGCTGCCAATGTCACCTGAGACTAAAAGCCCGAGTCAACCATGAAATGTAGAGAAATGGATAGAAAAAAAAATAATGCTTACTGGATGTCCAAAAGTATATTAGGACGTGTCTAGAAGTATTTCTTTTTCTTTAAAAACACACAAGGTTTGGGGGGTGGGGGGGGCGCCTGACTGGTTCAGTCGGTTAAGCGTCCAACTCTTAATTTTGGCTCAGGTCGTGAGCTCAGGATCGTGGGATGGAGACCCAGGAGTCAGGCTTCGTGCTCAGCAGGGAGTCTGCTCCAGGTTTCTCTCTCCTTCTCCCTCTGCCCTCCCACTCATATCCTATCTCTCTCAGATAATAAATCTTTAAAAGCAAACGGTGGGAGGCACCTGGGTGGCTCAGTGGTTGAGCGTCTGCCTTCGGCTCAGGTCATGATCCTGGGGTCCTGGGATCGAGTCCTACATCGGGCTCCTTGCAGGGAGGCTGCTTCTCTCTCTGCCTAGGTCTCTGCCTCTCTCTTTGTGTCTTTTATGAATAAATAAAATCTTAAAAAAAAACAACAAATAAAGCAAAGAAGGGAGTTCCACGTAGTTCTAGTCAGTAACAGTTAACTTTTCTGGAGTACCTACTATGTGCAAGACACAATCCTAACCACCTGACATAGATTATCGCCCAGTCTAGCCAACAATCCCCTGAGGTAGGCACTATTAATATATTTCTTTTCATTTTACAGATAAGGACACTGAGGCACAGGGGTAAGTAACTCACCCAAAGTCACACAGGTAATATTAGAGTCAGGATTCAAATCCAGAGGCAATACCTTACAGGCAAATGGCAACCCCCTGTCCCTCCCCCATCTGCCAAAAAAGAATAATGAACTGAGAAACTAGAAAATAAGGAAAGCAGAACTTCAAAGAGGTCAGAAGCAGGGAAGGGAAATTACTAAAGAATAATGAAAGCAACCTCTTATTCTTCTATAAAATAGGAAAAACTTTAGAAATAACAAGAAACTCTGGCCTTTGAAATCCTTTGGCCAGTTCAAAATGCTGCCTCCTAAGCCTTGAAGAGGCTCTGCTTTTCTCTTGATTTTGGAGCCCTCAAAAACAGCAAGAACCACATGTTCTTTCAGTGGTTTTTAAAGTAACTACATTTTGTTAATCCTTCTTTCATTTTGGAACAAAGAATATTTGAGTATTTTTTTTTAGAACTTTCGTCACTTTTCAGAACCTGTAAACACAAAAACATTTGCTTTGAGGCCATTGAACGTACAGCATATGAGAGAACTGAAAAGGTACTACAGATGAACTTGTATAGGAAGTTATCACGCATGCCATTTTACTACTGCTTTAGTTTTTAAGACGTCCAAGGCTTCCTGACGCTACAGCTAACATCAAAATGAACTCATTTCTTTACAAACCACACAACCCAAAGATTCAGATGGTAGGTTCTCAGGACTAACCAGAGTGCAGGAAAAGAAATCCACTTGTAAGGTAGCCTGAGGCAGGCAGGCACTGGCATGGAATCAACAGGGAACACTGACCTCAGCAGAGCCTTCTGTAGCTAAATCTAGTTAAGGGAACCACTGAGACAGGGGGCGATTGGAAGACCACCTCCCTACTTGTTTGAAAGCACTTATTTGCATTAAGAGAAAAAAATGCAAGTAAATATGAGGCTGGGAAGAATTTACGATCTAAGAGGCAATTGCTGGAGAAATGATGACTCCATAGAATCTCTTTGATTTAGACAGATTTGCTTTTGGATTTCATTATTTGCTTTAATGGAGCAGCAGCTGACACTCTAAAACCTAACAATTCAATATAATTCCCAAGTCACTCTCAAACATGCCAGCCTGTTTTATTGACATCATAGAGTTTCAGAGCTCTATTTTTCTGCATAGTGCTCATCTCCAATAGAAAATATATCACTGCTTTTTTTTCCTTGATCTGCTTCCCCACACATAGGTTCTGTAAGGCAGGGACTTCGTCAATGGTGCTGTGGGCTGTCTTCTCAGGGCTCGGGATTAAGTGGGCACACTACGGGCATTCTGGGTTTAATGGGTAAATGAGGCCACTGACAACTTAATAAATATAAGTTAGAACTTTAAGGTAAGGGGACCAAATGTTTAATAGCGTTCAATAACTAGAATCTAAAAGCCCCAATCAATCTCCTGTACTTTCACTGGTCTGAATCTACTCCATGGTATGGAATCTCTCAAGGATAGATTTGGTTTTGTGAAACAGCCAAAAGTCATCAAGTCAAATCTGGTGAGTAATAAGTGATCATGCCCAAGATATATGTTGATGAAAGCAAAACGTGTCTATAAATTAAGATGCGTAATTGTCTTCTTTGGCTGGTAAACTGGTTTTGAAGGAAATTCAAAATGGTTCAAACTACAACAAAATCACTGGCTTAGTCTCAAGACTCTAAGGGTGGATACTTAACAAGGAACAAAACTAAGCTGTCATTAGAAAAAAAAAAAACCACCCGGGGTTAGATGCCTAGATACTTCCCAGAGACCTGACTTACGGTATTAGCTTCACCATTCGGTTGTCCCAAATCCCGGGTCACATTATTAAAATACTATCAACGTTACACTCTCTGGGCCTCAGTTTCCCCATCCTGGAAATGGACTACTTATGAACTTCAACGTCCCAGTCAATCCTAATATGCCATGATTCCTTTCTCGGGCAGGTCTGTTAGGTCTACTTAAAAACCAGTCACAATCCACTCCACTTCGTACTCAGTATGCGTCTATAAGGCCCATAATATAATCTTTGCAGCAGATTCATTTCATATTTGCTTAGGCAAAAACTAAAATTAGTTTTCACTTCCTGAGCGCAGCAGAAGACAGTGAAGGGAGGCAACCCGGCAAAGGGCGCTTGCTCGCGCCTGTGCATACTTCCGACTGCGTATCAGGGAACTAACCGTTCCCTCTCTGATCTCTCAACTGTTGCAAAAGCAGATAAACCTCCCGTGCGTGACACAGAAACTGTTCGGAGCGCCCACCGAGGCTTCCCGGCCAGCGCCGGGCTGTGGCCGCTCCGCAGGACCCACGGGGGATGCGGCGGGCACCCACCCCGGGCGGAGGGCCAAGGCGAGGACCAGCCGCGGCGCGTCGCCGGGGAGGCAGGACGGCCGCCCAGCCCGCTCGCCGCCCCAGGCGGGGAAGCAAAGTCCGGGAAGCGGCCGCGACGCCCCCAGGGTTCCCCCCGCGGCCCCGATTCCCCGTCCGGACCTTCGCCCGCCGCCGGCCCGGGACCTTGGGCGGGGAGAACAGGAGGCAGCCGGAGGCACCTGCCCGCGGCTCCCCGGCCTCCGTCAGCCCCGGCCGGCAGGGACAGCGAGGCGCTCGGGCGAGCCCCCCCCCCACACCCGCGGGTGCTACGAGAACCCGCGGGACCCGTCGGCCCGGGGAGTCCCAACTTCCTCCTCCCGCCCCCCCCCCCAACACAGGTCCCCGTAGCGCCCGGCTCAGAGCCAGGCCGGCCCGAGCGCACCCACCTCGGGGTCCGGGCGCCACCGCCGTTGCCAGGCTGCTCGCCTCCCGGGCCCCGCTCCGCCCCCTCCAGGGCCCGCCCCCTGCGGCCGCCCCGCCTCTGGCCACCGCCCGCCGCCCTCCTCCGCGCGCCGGTTGGCGGGGGAGCATCACGTGACATGGGCGAGGCGGGCAGAAGGCGCCGGGAAAGCCTCGGCCACGGCCCCGAGGGGCGGGGCTCTTCCCCCGGGGGGCTGCTGGGAAGCCCCCTTTGAAAGGTCCGGCGCCTGGAGGCATCTGGTAGTTGTAGTTCCAGATACGCTACCAGTGGGCAGGGCCCAGATGCTAGGAGCCGCCCCAGTAAGGGAAGTTGGCCTGGGAGCCAGCCGAACGGAGGCCGCTGGGAAGCGTAGTCCCAGGACTGCTCTGCGTCTCATTGTTTGGCTCCAATAAAGGGGAAATCCAGAGGGAGAACCCCTCTGTATAAAACTTTAGCCGATGTCAATAAACGGAGCTGTCATTGGGCGCGTACAGGGTGGGCTGCGTGACGCAGAGATGCTACAAGGGCCGGGGGGACAAATGTCACTGACCCTGGCACAGAATCTGCAATTCACAAGCCGAATGAACAGCTGAGGTGGACTCCGGGCGGTGCCAGCATCTTTCCAAGAACTCTCTTGAGACTTAGTAAAAGGAAACATTTCAGGACGAAGTTCCTTCTGCTTTTTTGAGGTTTGGAGCAGGCGACCATTAATACAGTGAAAAGAAAGGAAAAGGGGGGAAAAAAACAGAAGGAAAACAACTTTAGGAAGAGAATTCCGTGCGTAACCGAATGAAACAAGCTTAATATAACACATAGAAAAATAGGTTTAATATTCCTTGTGCTGCATAGTAATTATATATATATGTAAGCATGTCAAAGAAATGATGCTGCGTAGGAGCACTTTACCATCTTTTTACTCTTGGATTTATTAGTACTCCAGCATCTAAAAAGAATTGTTTTACCTGATACCAATATATGTGTTCATATGAATTTACATACGATCATATATCACTATATGTATACACACACTACACACACACACACACACACACACACTGAACCTACAGAAGAGTCCACACTTCTTAGGTGAGGAACAAGGCCCTTCAGACTCCAACCCACTTACCCTGCCAATGTGCCTCTTCTCTCTCCTCGCCCCAAATTCTGATCTAATCACAGAGAACTCCTTTCTATTCTCTAGATGCACCATGTTCTTTTCTTCTTCCAGCCCTTTACACTTGTTGTTTCTTTCTCCTGGATTGGCCAAACTCCTGGAAGGGCGGCAGAACAGCACTTGTTCCTGGGCCAGGAAGAATTAGCTCTCCCAGAGCCCTTCTCATCGCACTGATGTCATCATTTGCTTACATGTCAGCCTGCCAGCTCCCCTCCCCAGACTGGGAACTCCTTTGAACCACATTCACTTTTGTACTGGATTGCTAAAAGTGCTCAGTAAATGCTTCTTGATTGCATCCACTGCGAGCCAAAGAGGCTCCCTGGTGGGCTACTGAATAATCTGAGAGTCCTGGAGCAGAGGGATGGGAGGAAATGTGGACTAAGAGAGGGCACCAGCTGGGTGGGAGACCTTGCATACAGTAGGCACCGTATTCAAGCATGACGCTGAAGCCCTTTGCCCAACCAGGGGTTGGGGGCTACAGAGCAGGGACACCTCTTATCCTAAGGAGGTTAGCCCAGCTCCAGCTTTGAAGGACACAGCTCACGCAAGAAAGGTCCAGTAAAGAAGACCAGTCTCTGGCCTGTGAAGTGCAGTGACCCCCGCCTCACAATGTAGGTGCAAGGATCAAGTGGAGGAAGACGTGAAAGCACTTTGAAAACTGTAAACATTGAGCACAAACGGGAGTGACCACCTTGCCGTGGGTAAGGTCACTGTGTTCTTTTATTTTTAAGATTTTATTTACTTATTTAGAGAGAGAGTGAGCACTTGCATGAGTGGGAGGGAGGAGCAGAGGGAGAGAATCTCAAGCAGACTGCCCACAGAGCTCACAGCCTGAAATGGGGCTCGATCCCACCACCCTGAGACCATGACCTGAGCCAAAATCAAGGATTGCACACTTACCCAACTGAGCCACCCAGGTGCTTACCCCCTCTTTATTTATTTGAGAGAGAGAGAGAGAAAGAGAGAGAGAACAAGCTGGAGGAACAGAGGGAGAAAGAGAATCTCAAGCTGTTCTCTGAGTGCACAGACAGACAGAAGGCCTGATCCTAGGACCCTGTGATCATGACCTGAGCCGAAATCAAAAGTCAACCACTTAATTGACTGCACCACCCAGGCGCCTCAGCTTGCTATACTCTCGACCGATTCCTGCCCTCTCTCTGGCTGGAGCTGCATCTCATAGTTTGAAGTATGTGTGTGAGTACCTGTGTGTGTGTTGGGGGTTCTTCAGGCTTCCCTGCCTTTTACACACACACACACACACACACACACACACACAGACACGCACACACACACAGGGGCATGCATGCACCAAATGCAGGGGGTCTGTGGGGAGATGGCTGGCTCTGGGACAATAGGGAGAAGCCAGCAATAGACGTGACATAATGCTGCCTCTTCCATAACCTTTGTGGGTGGGACATCCAGGATGCGTCCCCCTCCCGACCCCGTGCAAGGTCCTCCAACTTTGGCTAAGGCCAAGACTGAAGGTGCCTCCTGTCCTCTCGGGTTTCCTCCCATTCTCCCAAGCTAGGGCAAGTGGAGCAAGCAGGACCAGGAGGGGTCTACATCCTTGGCCTGGACAAGTGTACCCTCACCCCACCTCCAGCCTCCTGGGTGACAAGCAGGCCTGAGAAAGGAAAAGTTCTGTTTCCTGCTTCTCTCCCATAGTGACCTCACACACGGGCCCAGTGCTGGGGCTCTAACCTCCCAGTCCCCACTCCTGTTGCAGACTGGGACTGCAACCACCTTTTCCTACCAGGTTCATTACACTGACCCTGGGGGGGAGGAAAGAAAGGGGCTTCCTTACAAGGAGAAGGCTGTTGGCCTTGGAAAAGTTACTTCTAATCATTAGCTGCCTCTTAAAAAAAAAGGAGTGAAATGCACTTCTCATGGTGTCCTAGCATATAGTAAGGACCGAGGTGGATGTGGTGTCTAGAATGTCGAGGCAGTAGTGTTCCTAAGCTGCCAGGTTGGCTGATGGAAAGAGAGGTGGGAGAGGGCAAGAAGCAAGCCCCTGATCATCCCTGCTTTTCCATTTGTTTATTAGGTGTGTGACTTTGGGGAAGTACATCAATTTCCTCATCAAGGAAATGGGGATATTAGTGTCTACTTGATAAGCTTATTGTCAATGGTTCTACCTCCATCTTCCTCGCCCCCACTCTTTCTCTTTTTCTTTCTTTCTTTCTTTCTTTCTTTCTTTCTTTCTTTCTTTCTTTCTTCTTTCTTTCTTTCTTTCTTTCTTTCTTCTTTCTTTCTTTCTTTCTTTCTTCTTTCTTTCTTTCTCTCCACTCTTTATTTAAAAAGTAGCCCAAGCCAAATGATGCAGCCTCTTTGGAAAACAGTTTGGCAGGGATTTATAAAGTTAAAAGTACACAGGACCCAGCACTACTGCTACTAACTGTTTATCCAAGAGACCTGACAGCATCTGTTCACGAAAAACCTTGTATGCAAATATTCATAGCAGCCTTTTAAAATAACCATCGAAAATGATAAACAACTCAAATTCCTCATCAACTGATGAAGGGCTAAACAGTGATGCGTGCACACGATGGAATACTACTGAGCAATAAAAAGGAAGAAACAACTGATGCATGTTATGACATGAATGAACTTCAAAAATCTTATGTTGAATGAAATAATACATGAAATATTGCATACTGTGTGGTTTCATTTATGTTACATTTGGAAAAAGGCAAACTATAGTGATAGAAAGCAGATTTGTGATTGGCTGGAACCAGAGACATGGGAAGGTCTTGACGGCAAAGAGGCAAGGGGGAAGTTTTAGGGGTGATGGGAATGTTCTATACTTTGTGATGGGGATTACATGACTGTATACAACTGCCCTAACTCATTAAATGCTAAATATGAAAAGGAGGGAATTTCATTCTGGATGGGTTATACTTCGATAAACCTGAGGTTTACAGGGTTAGGGGCAGGAGGGTAAGTAGCCTTAGGTAAGTTTCCGGAGCCTGCCCAGAATTGTCAATCTGTTTTTGTTTGTTTGGTCAGTTGGTTGTTTTGAAGAGGCCCAGGGTTTTAAAGGGGAGAGGGGGCTGAAGCTTCCCCTATGCAAGGGCGTGCTACAAGGCACGAGATTGATTGGGTCTAGGGAGAAGCCCCACCCCGGGAAGATGGTGGCCAAGCCCCATCAGGGTGGTATAGGGAGTGCTTCCCTGGGAGCTGAGTCTGGACAGATGGAGTATGACACTTGCGGACTCTAGAAACCAGAAGTTTGCCCCCCATCTTCTCTCTGGGAACTGCCAATGACCTATGAGCACGTACACGGAGAGGCTCCAGATCACCGGGGGTCAAGCCGGACTCTGTTCACGTGCAGATGAGAGCGCTATTGCCTCTTGCTAGCATTTTCCCTTCTACTCTCCCGTAGAGCACAGTGTTGAGTTTGGGGCCTCCTTGAAGAGGTCCCGCTTGTCAGCAGGGTCTATTTTCCCAGGTGCTGGGTGGAAGTTCAAACCAAGTAATGGGACATGAAAACACACACAAAGAGAAACATAGATTTTGGCAGGGATGGGGGGGCTCCCAGGGCTTCTTGGACACAGGGGCCAGACACGCAGAGATGATTGTTATGACATCACGATGTTTCCAAGGGCCAGCCTTGCTTGTCTCACTCATCACTAGACAAATGCAGGGTGTTTAGGGACAGCTTTGGGGTCTAGTCTACAAGCGGCCTGGTGAGAAAATTGTTCCAGCGCTCCAGTCATATTGCAAAAAAAGCCAAAGGAACTCAGTTGCTTTGAAAGACCAGCCCACAAGTTGCCCACCCTCTGCTTCCAATTATGAGGTTTTTTTTTTTAATCTCAGTTTCCTACACTAAAAATTTTTTTGAGGAAGGAAGCCCTATGA